GGGTCTGTTTCCATGTTGTATGACTCTATGACTCTATTTCACAACTTTAAAGAAGTGATACAAATGGAAATTGTTATTGATAAGGGAGGTGAGATTTAGGTAAATGAATCTACGTGTGCATACACACACACACATGTACAAATGCATTTATATACATACATGCGCACATATGAACACAGTGTACACACATGAAAACACACAGATGTGCGGTGCCACACACATGAACGCCCACGCAAACAAACACACATAAACAAATAGATGCACATGTGAATGCACACACAACAAAAGCATATACATCCACAGATACACCTGAACACAGACACATGAACATGCACACATGAAAAGAGAGACACACAAGAACACACACACGAATATACACACACACAAATAAACACACACACGAACAGACATACACATGAACACGTGCACACACACACGAAAAGTTGAGTACCATTCGATTCAAAACTAAAAGACAAAAATCAACGAGGTTGCTGGTGGCAGCTGCACCAAGAAAAATTCAGTCCCACAGTACTCGCTGTTAGAGAACTGACTCAGAAATAGGCTGACAGTGGTACTTCGCAACATGAGATTATAGAAAGCCAGAAGAAACTGTTCCAGTTCTTTAACAATGACCAGACACTATTTTATTTCCTGCGGGCTTCATTCTCTACCAAATATCTATCAATTTGTTCAGTGCTATTGCTAGGATTATCTGCCTTTATTTCTTCCTCACAGTTTGTCCCAAATATTTGCCACTTTCTTGCAGTTCAAACTTTCTCTGGACATTCAAGCAGGTGGGGGTGAGAGGGGTGAGGGGGAGACAAGTGACTCAGAAGAAAGAAATTCATAAGCACGATAGCTATAACCATCAGCCCAATGAACTGTGATGCCTTCCTGTACATACCTGCTCCCCGATTAATACCGCGCCTTTGTTAAACTCCTTCACAACACTTTGCATCAGTCAGCTGATATAACACAGAATTCTTAGCATGCTGTATCAGAGTCTCCTGAACAACAGACAGGCCGAAGTCACGCACAGCAGCCAAATTCACCGAAAGGAAATGTACTCCATCCAAAATAATTTAAAAAACACACACACACACACAACGCACATTAAACACAATGCTTCCATTGTATGAAAGGGAGTTGACCGTTATCAAAAATGTTATAGTATTTGTGTCAGGCAGTTACACTGGGGGAGGTTCTGAATCTACAACCTTCCACACCAGGTGGGCTGTCTACAAACAGTGAACTAAAGTACCCACCATATTGTTCCAGCAATAAAACAAAGTTACGACGAGATTTAATGAAGAGGTAAGGGTTACAAGCCCGTGGGTGATAATAATTTAAAGGAGAGTTCAGACAGGACTAGCTCTCTAACATTTGAAATAAGCAAATTCTTTTTGAACAGGTCAATGAATATGGTTTGATTGAAACCACTGGTATTTGGTATTCTGCCAAAACAAACACTGTTCTTAAACACTGTGCACTTTTAGCAATGAACCACATAAGGAGGCTATAGTTTTAAAACTAGGGTTCTTGTTCACTAACAAGGTTAAGTCATCGTGTCTGGGGAATTTGAGGCATGTTCAGTGTCCACAAGCAGTCCCTGCCAAAACACTGATGGGTGCTGGTCGATCAGAGCGGCTGGAACCACCTGTTCAATGTTAACTTTCTCTGCAAATCTTTTTGTTTGCACATTTGTATTTTTTAATTTACATTTTTGATGGAGCTGCGTAACTGTGAGACTGGGCAGAAACCTCTCCCATTTTGCCCCTGGTCTGAGTGTATTGTAACAGGCTGTAAGGACATGAGTAACTGCAGACTGGTACCACTGTAGATCCCTGTGAAGCAGCACCTCACCACAACTGTAACACTAACAGTGAGAGCGCAGGACCAGGGGAGCTCTCCTTCTGGGGAGCCTGTTTGCACCAAAACCACAAACAGAATTCTAGTACAGACATTTACTAATCTGTAACATATAAAGCACAGAAGGCATCTCCCTGGGTTGCTGCAGACAAAAGGCTTGCACTCATATTCTTGCATTTACAACACAGTGTATAGGAGCACATTCTCTGTGGCATTATATAACATACTTCAATCAATCTGTTTTAATGGTGCTCGTAACTTGTATGGGCAGTTAAAGTTTTGATTACTGCGTATAACCCTGGTTAGACCATAGCTAGTGTAGCGATTGTTAACAAGGTCAGCCAACTGGACCTCACAGAACATGAGTGCCCTGATTGGGGTTGTTAACCTGGTCCATTCAGGGAGCCCTGGCTGACAGATATAAACAGGAGTGTCAAAGGTTCTGCTTACTCCGAGAGCTGGGGAGCTGAGCTCTGAGGGAGCAGGATCGGTGTCAATGTGTAATTAGAGGGTGAATTAGTGACAGGATACCAGCCTCTGTGGAGTTATTTTAGCAAGAGTACTGTGTGCTGTTCTGGAATCCACATTCTAAGGGGGACATGATTGCACTGGAGAGGGTGCAGAGGAGATTTACCAGGATGTCGCCTGGGCTTGAGAGATTGGACAGACTGGGGTTGTTTTCCTGAGAGCAGAGGAGACTGAAGGGAGATATGATTGAGATGTATAAAATTATGAGGGACACAGGTGGAGTAGATTAAGAAGGAACTTACCCCTTGGTGGAGGGATCAACAACCAGGGGCACAGATTTAAGGTAAGGGACAGGAAGTTTAGAGAGGATGTGAGGAAACCTTTCTCACCCAGAGGGTGGTGGGAACCTGGAACTCACTGCCTGTAAAGGTGGGTAGAGGCAGAAACACTCACAACTTTGAAGAAGTATTTAGATGTACGTTTGTAATGCCAAGGCAGACAAGGCTATGGGCCAATTAGAAAATGCGATTGGAATAGTTAGGTGGTTGTTTTTGATCAGTATAGACTTGATGGACCAAAGGGCCTTTTTTGTGCTGTAGATCTCTCTGACCATATGACTAACTTTGTATCTGATGTACATTTGTGATTGATAACCAAAGTTATCAGTTTTTTAGCCAAGTGAATCTGTTATTACCAATGGCACAATGGATGCTAAATTGTACTGTCATAACTGTTTCAATACAGTAACATTTATCTAATTAATCAAATCTTGATTTCAGCCTGGATTAAAATGACATCTAGACATTGTAAACCACTGAAGTTCTCCTGATGCAGTAATGTGGAGATTACTTTCCATAATCAAGTATCATCATTTATGTTAGAGACAAAATAAATGTGGACTTTAATTTTGCAATGTTCAAAATATTCATTGTGTTTCTGAAACAGAGAGGTACTTTAGTCAGAGAATGCAATCACCTGAAGTAATCTGATAAGGTTGGGGCATGTGCTGGGGGTTAATGAGAGGCAGAATGCTATTCTAATAGGTTTGTAACCTTTTCTCAACCTTAAATCCTGTCTATTAGACGCAATGATTATTGTCCTTGAAGATATTGTAAGCTGTTTTCGCAGTGAAATATTTCTGACGCCAAAGCTCCTTTGCCTGAGAAGTTAATTTGCCCTACAATTTTCTTCGATAAATCAAGTTAATAACTTAAGGAGAATTTCCAACCTTCTAAAGCAGGCCACAGAGCCAATCATATTTATTTATATCACGTGCTCCATGCTATAACCTATTATCAAAGAATATTGTGAAAAGCCACTTTTGTAGAAAATTATCTGGAAGCAACATTACTATCAGAGATGAGAATTCAATGTTCTGAAAACAGTTTTTTTTGAATACTATGATTACTAATCATACAAAAAGATTGTAGGATAAGTGAGTGCTCCAGAACCCTGATGAAGAGGGGCATCACAGAGGTCTTTTCTGCAACATCAGGACTCAGAAGCTGGCACTGGCAGCAGGGTCTACTCACACAACAATAAGCCCCATTGCTAATACCACCCCAGGAAACTTGCTTTACAAAGTGTCCCCTTTAAACGTCAAGCTCCTGAACTAAGATTCGTTTACACAAATACTCTGAGACAAAGGCAGGCAATAAATACTGGCCCAGCCAGTAAAGCCCATGTCCCGTAAAGGATTAACAAGAAAATATTTATAATGGTCTGATCCTCATCGCTCTAATGTTAACACGGCCCCATTCGCACTGCTCTTATTGCCGAGTTTTAATTGGTTTCTCACTCAAAGGAGAATTAAATGATCATCCACTCTCAATTCAAGGCTGTGTGTGTGAGTGAGAGAGAGACACAAAAAGTGTGTATTTGTGTATATATGTGAGTGTGTGCGTGCGCGCGTGTGTGTGTGTAAGTGTCTGTGTAAATGTCTGTCTGCATGTGTACATGTGAGTCTGTGTGTGTGGGAGTGTGTCTACACTTGCGTGTGACTGTATGTGCAAGCATGTGTGTGAACGTGCATGTGTATGTCTGTATGTATGTGTGAGAGTGTGTCTGCCTGTCTATGTCTGTGTGTGTGTGTGTGTGTCTGTGTGTGCGTGTCTGTCAGCGTGTGTGTATGTGTGTGTACGTGTGTGTGTCTGTCAGTGTGTGTGTGCGTATGTGCGTGTGTGTCTGTCAGCGTGTGTGTGTATGGGTGTGTGTATGTGTGTGTGTCTGTCAGTGTGTGTGTA